TGCTGGCTGCTTTTCCTTCCTGCTCACTAGTCTTTTTGGTAATATCAGTAGAGACATGATGCAAATGTACTTTCATTGTCAGTACGATCTTGTAGACTATTCCTGCCCACGAGCTGAATATGCAGTTCATATCATGTGAGAAGGGAAAAAAAAAAAAGAAATTAAGCAGTCTGACCTCGACCTTGAGATCTGAAGAGGATACAATACACTTAGAACACATACACTTTTCTGAAAGTGCTGGTTCCTTGTTGTAGTTATGAGTGAAAAAAGTGAAAAGAACAAAGGGGTAAGTAGCTCTTTTTCCTGCTTGTTTCACGGCATTTCTGCACGTTCATAGCATTTTGCCACTTTGTGTTTCTTCTAAAGGAAAAATTGCCTTGCTGCTGCTATTGCTCTTCCGAACCTTCAGGCTGAGGAGGAAGAAAAACGGCAGAAGGAAAATGTCCCAGTGAAACTATGACAGCATTGTATTTCAGCTTTAGAGGTGAAATATATCTTGCTTTTCTGTGGACAGATAATTCGAAGTGGTTGCAGCCCCCTTAAGTCTGACAGGAAGCAAGACTGCATGGTATTGGGCATTTTATGAAAATGCATAGTTAATATTCAGCAATAAGGAGCATGCGGTAATTGTACTGGTGGCACAAGTCCGGATGGTGCTGCATAGTGCTTTGCACAGACCATTTACTAAGAGATTTGTCCAGCAATTAGAGCAGGGAAATACCTGGAAGAGGAGCTACTGGTGCTCAGTTTTATCTAAAAATAGGGATCAGGCCAAGTCATCCTGACATATGTGCCCATTCTAGTCATTTTGCATGGTGCTGGCCATGTGCCATCAACTTGGACAGGCATCATGCACCTAGGCTTGCCATTACTCACAAATCCTTTTAAAAGAGTGAAAGAAAGGGTCCAGCTATAGGATTTGCCTTTGGTGGTATCACCCAAGAGCTCCCCATACATACCTGCAGATATACGGCAAGTCAGCCCTCAAGGACCACTTTGACATGGTAGAGCATAGTGCTGCTTGCTGGTAAGGGTGAACTCTACCACCTCCTTTGCATGCAGACCCTTGCAAACTGTGAGGTTACCACCAGGTTCCATGATGGCTAGGGCAGCTTCCACCCTCCGCTTCTGGCTAAGGTCTTCTAGCCCTTCGGTTGTTGTACCGGACCTTTTCTCAGAACTTAAAGCACGTGTCCAAAATTGTACAAGCTACTAAATCAGTAATTAAATGGCAAGGGAGACTAATAGGAGAATTTGTAATCCCTTTGAAAAATCAGTGATCGAGCTTTCTCCAAGTGTTTTAACCAAATCAAATCAAAGTAGCTGAAATGGCAAAGATAATCAACAAGGATAAATCCCGGGTCAGCCATATCCAAAAGAAAAGCCAAATCTAACCCTAAAACTAGAACTAGAAATGTGAATAATTCTGTAAATATCACACTCCATTTGTTTTTTTGTTAAAAGTATCAGCATCACTTCCAGTGTCTGACCAATCTGCGACACATGTCTCAGAGCAGAGGATTTTTCCATTAACGTAGTGCTCTGAATGTGCCTGTTGTGAAACAGGGAGCACGTGTCACCAGCATTCACTTTGAGCCAAAGAAAATCTTTGATCACGATCATTTGATTTTCTCTCTACTCCAAACATTACTTCTTGTTTCCACTGGACTCTTTGTTCCTTGTAAAAACAAAGCAAATTCTACTTGTAACATCAGTACATCAAGGTGGAAAAAATGCAGTTGTATAAACAAAACAAAAACAACACAAAAGTTCTATTTGATTAAATAAAGAAAAATAAAATTTCACGCATGTGGAAAAAAATTTCCGAGGTATCACATGGGAAACCCCACAGACAAGCTGCCCCTTGAGCAGCCAAGAATTGTGTCCTCTCCCCAACACTCCTGTCATGTCTCTGCAATGTGATTTTTAAAGTATCTCCTCAAGGGTGCTTGAGCACACCTGAAAAAAATAAACATATTTCTTCCTTCTATCTGCCAGGTAAAGTACTAGAGATGCATGCTGCTGAGTGACATCCATCTATTCAAATCCCTTCTGAGCTAAAATCAATATTAGCTAGATCCATTACCTCCTGCTTTATTGGCAGTTTGGGTGCTTGTTCAGAAAACAGTCCCTCCTAGTAATGTAATAAGGCCCCCACCTTTGAGATAATTAGGTTGCCTGTGATATAGCATCCACTGATGATCATTTCCCTGCTGATTTTGGCCTGCTGTTTCAGCTCAGGTTGCAGTCTCCATCTCTAAAAACTCTTACATCAGACCATCTGAGTCTCCTCACCTAATAATTGCCATAGCAGATTTATTTAGATTCTTTTTTTTTTACTCTTCTATTCTAACAGCAACCAGCCAAACCTCAGAGTGTCATTAACTTGCTTTTAAAAATCCACTAAAGTGGTTTTGTCAATTACCTCGAGATTTAATATCTCGGCCACAACACAGATATCCTCACTCTAACAACAAATCCCTTCAGGAGTGCACACATGGCACCAGCCTTCCCCACATTTCCTCTGGGTCCTCAGTGCACCCCAGAAGCCAATAAATTCAAGTTAGTCCAGAGAAAGGGTAGCAATAAGATCCAAAAATGCTATGAAATTTCAGACTCTGCCTTGTCAGATGTCTCCTCTACCTGACATGGTAGCGGATTCCAAACTGAGAGCCTCTCACTCGTCATTAATTGTACCTCTAATAAATAGGGGAAACAAAATATGATGAACCCACTCACTCTTAACTAACCTATCCTGATCCTGTGGTGTAGCTCTTCAGCAACATGGGGCTTTGCCCATGAAAAGATATGGAAACAAGTCCTACTTTTTTTGGATATGTCAGTGTGTAAATCCTAAAAGATATGGATACATGACTTTAACCCCCCTGAGGCTTAGAATCATCATAATTATCTTCATTTCTTTAAATAATGGGAGTGGATGATAGGCAGGAACTCAGCGCAAGGTACTGCAGATGAGACAACACTTTCTAATCCTGACATGAAAAATAGTAGGGGTATTTGTCCCATTCTTAGGCATTTAAAATCAATCATTAACCTATGGTATGAAATACTTAAGTTGGCAAGAAGCTGAAGAGAAATGCGCCGATGAGCAAAGGGAAAATTGGTTCTCCTTAATGGCTCAAGATACACTAATAAGTGCCAGGGCCTGGGGGTGACATTTTCCTCATGGTAGTCTGGAAGTTATTCCCTCACTCTATTGGGCTGTGACTCTCTCAAAGGCCTAGAGCCTCCACATGCGGTTTGCTATAAGCACAACTTCTTGCTGACATGTCCGTCTAGGGAAGGAAACAGGACTGGATTTGCTAATATATCCTGCTGGAACCCAGTTCTTGAATCCATACATCCTTCTGTTATTTGGACAGTTCCAGAGCAGGAATCCTTCAGTCATAATTCACAAACTACACATAACATAATGAGCCCTTTTGACATTGCTCGTGGCATTAGCAGCCTGCCACCGCCACCGCGCAAGTCATCAGGGAGAACAATGTATAATATTTCATGATGTGCAACATATTGTTGCCATGTTGAACATTTCTTGCTCAATATTACTGTCAATAAGCTAGCAAAGGCTGAAGTCCTTGGCCATAGGTAGACTGCCAAATCCTGGGATCCCCAGGAAATATCCCAGTAGGCTTGGAGTCCAGCCTGAGCCTGGATAAATGCAATGTATTACAATCAACAAAGCACTTAATTAATGAATGCTGACATTGTACCTTCCTTGGAACAAACAAAAAGGAAAGCATGGCCCTCTGCCCAAGGAGCTTACAGCCTAAATTAGACTGGCAATAGAGATCAGACATGCAAGACATGCAGAGGGAAGGCTGACACTTCAGTTTATCCTTTGTTTTCTCTAAATACAGATATAGACAGTGGCAGCAGAAAGCAAAGCTTCTCTCTCTGGCATCCCATGGTTTTTTCTCCCAGTCCTGACCAGAAGGAAGTTTATATTTTTTTCTTGGTTTCATCTGTCTACTGCATCCTTGTGCATGCATACTTGCTTTCACATTAAGTTCTTCCTAATTTAATCCCATTTTCACTCATTTTCATTTAATTCTACCACTTTAAAACATCATCCTCTGAAATGAGAACACTTTGTCTTCTTCCTTAACCTGACTCAAGGCCTTGTTTCCACCCCTTGGTTCACATATGCTCTCATGTTTAGATCAAAAGCCCATCCATCCCACTAGTCTAAGATTTCCTTTCATCCTCCTCTTGTAACTTCCATCATATCCAAGAATCTCTGCATGAATTATAACTTCCTCTGGCCCACAGGAGACCTCATCTCTCTCCATCCCAACTCAGTTCTTCGTTTTCCCTCAAGATTTCAGGAACCTACCAGCTCTTATCACTTATTCAGACAATGTGCTTAGAGATTGAGGTCTGCAGGCAGGAGCAGGTTGTATCTACAGGTGGCAAGGACATGAGGGAAGTCCTTAACACAGAATAAATTATTATGCTACAGGAAATATTCCGGGTATACCTGCCTGTACTCTGAGAAAGGAGACACATGCACAAATGCTTATGCACCTTACACCTGGAAAGGGGTAACTGTGCGTTTGAAGACTAATGAGAAACTTGTGTTTATTAATTTGTTCATCCTCCTGTTGAATTCATCAACAATCTAGGTCCCTGTAGCATTTTTGTTTCCTTTTATCTTCAATTTCCTTTAAAATACTCTCCACTTAGCCAAAGTATTACTTAGTCTTCAGTGCTTTTTAAGGAGAAAATTAAATGCATTAAATAAGGAGCTGTAATAACACCCCTGAAGATTGTAGACCTCAATAAGTGACACACAAACTTCTCTTCCCAGCTGTTCAGAAAATCATTTTACCATGCATAATATTGTCATTATCTCTTCTGTTATTATTACTGACACTAGTAAGTGGAAATGTCTACTTCGTGCTGCTGATAAGTGGACAGAACTGAAAGAAAATGTGGCAAAAATAAAACAGAAGTAAAGATATTTTTAAAGAACTTACCCAGCGTCAGTGCTATTGCCGCAAAGTAACACATCTTCTGTACCATTTTTTATGAAGTAGTTCACTGTGATGGAAAAGAAGAAACTACTTTTTAACAAGTACTTTTCCAAAATTATAACATTCACAAATATTATCCACCAAATAGCATATACAATAGGAATAGTAATTGAGAGATTTGATGAATTCAATGTTCTTGCCTTGTTTTAATTATTTTAACTTTTATGAGTTGTTAACAGGTTTTAAAAAGATATTTTTCTTTTTTACATGGTTATCTTTGGTATTAAACAGCACTTTATTAGGTGTAGCATTGTAGGTATGAAGGAAACATCATATAGGCTTGTTCTAGCTAATGTAAATGAGAATGATAATATGCATAGCAATACTTAATGAAATCAATACATTAATTTGGTCATATTTTTTAGGCCCTAAAAGATGAGATATATGTTAACTGAAGTTTATGACAGAAATTCTTGACTCATAGATTAAAAATGTAACTCCCTATAAGATAAAAAGTAATATTAAAAAGGCCTCTCATTCCCCCAGTATGAGGGGTTCTATTCAGCTTAGGAAGTAGACAGTAAAAAAGCACCCCATTAAAGATCAAACAAACAAGGAAGTATTCATAAATACAAATATTTATCTATGCAGCCTTCCATAATGCCAGTGGAGAGAGACAGACACTTCTCGAGGGAGACTGAAAGCAGCAAGCTAAATGTAAGTGCTTTGGATCATTCCCTGGTTGACTATCAATGAGGCTTAAGAAAATTAGCATCCCAAGGTTAATGAGAGCCTTTGTGTACATACTCCCTCTCCTATTCCCCAGCCAACAGAGAAGTCTAAAATTCAGAGAAACAGAACAGGAACCAATCTTCTCAAAAAGACTATCAAAAACATTTTAAAAGAAAGGATCTTCAGAAAAGAATCATTCTAAGCAGTATCTCTAAATCTGAAGGTTAGCAAAAAAGAGAGGATAAAAGCATTGATTTAGAAACATAACCTGCAAGACAGGCCAAAAGATTCCTGATAAAAGGTGGATATACCGGTGCACTTTATTGCAGCAGGACGTGATGCCCTGTTGACACAGGACCTGATGGTGATGGTTTTACCCAGCATGTCTTTGGGAACTGAGGGGCCTCTGCAGATGATGCTCAAAGGAGGTTCTCTCTTCTAGGCTAACCCCACGTTGTGAAATGCTTTAAAAAAAATCACAAGTGACAGCTTATCCAGGCAGGCTATGCAAAGAATGCTCAGTGGCTCAAGCCATTGAACAGATGTGCTATAGCTTTCTGAGTAAGCTGCGAGCAGTGGAAAAGCCCTGCCTTGATGCATGCCAAGAGGGAATTACTGTCCATGAGCTCTGTGGTTATGAGGGCATGTGATGGTGTTCACGAGTCAACACTGTATATACTCTGCTTATATTGTACGCTTTTCCACTTCATTTTATATGTGGTCTTTCTATCTAAATATCTTGATTGTCAGCAACATAAAGGTATTGGATACGGTTAAAGATCTCTGAACCATCTCCAAAGGGAGGAGGAGTTTGAGGAGTTGCATCTGCTATCACTCCTTAGTTCTGCTGGAGAAAGGCTTCTGCTGTTCTCAGGACAGATGGTGTCTTATTTGGGATATGTACTGTTAGTGATACAAACCCAACAGACTGTTAATAAGAAGAAAATACGGCACAATCTTGCCATAGACAATAAACTGTAGTGGTTTTATATCTTGTAGAGATGGTATCGCTACATGGAATATCCTGAACTTTGCAAACAAACACCACTCCCTGGAAATTGCAACTTTTCATACTTTAAATATTAAGACCAGGAGGACCATAGAGGGTCTAAGCAGATTTGCCCCCACAGTAAGATTTAAAAATTTTACCCAGTAACTCCTGCAGAACGCCATGGCTTCTGCTTTGAAGAAAGGCATTCTTCTATACAAGGAGCTTAACAGAATCACAGAATCACAGAATATTCAAGGTTGGAAGGGACCTCAAGAGATCATCTAGTCCAAGCTTCCCGCTCAAGCAGGCACACCTAGAACATGTGGCACAGGGTGGAATCCAGGCGGGTTTTGAAGACCTCCAGAGAAGGAGACTCCACAACCTCCCTGGACAGCCTTTTCCAAAAGTCTGATTTAAACCCAAATCCTTGAATTCCTCACACCTCTAGTTATGATTTCTGTGCCTTAAGCTTGTCTTATCTTGTCTTTTTGCCTTATTTATTTATTTTGCTTCAAGTCCCTAAGTGATGCTGTACAATTATGTACACTGTTTTAACCTCTTGCTTCTGGATATTACTGCAGCCCTTGAGTATAGAGCCAGCCCACTAAAGACTGAACCAATAACTCATGGTCAGCTGAACCAGGAGATGAGCATGGTGTCAAACAACAGAAGTAAGGAAGGAGAGGAGATGTGTGAGCAAGCAAGAAAGAGTATTGCGGGTGGGCTTTCAGATCTCCAGAATACACACAACTCTGTCATCTGCTGCTGACTTAAACATTTACATTTCTAAAACAAGCAACATAGTAGGTGCCAAAGAGCTCTGTGAAAGGCGTACTGAGGAATCAGTGCCTGGATGCTGCTGAGAGAGAATATCTATGCCACGGAGTCTGCAACTGCGTAATGAAGTTTGCACTGACCATGACAAGCTGCAGTCTGATGAAAAGCTAATTACTGATTCCCTACTGATAAATGAAAGAGGGATTTTTGAAGAGAAAAACTGCAGTATTTTCAAAAATGCTCACAACAAGCAATTTGTCATTCAAAGCAAGCTGGTTTGGACTTCTATCAGGCATGCAAGAGAATAAGAGGTATTTAAGAAGCAGCCATGGCTCTTGCTTTTAGAGCAATCTGCCTTGGTACCATGTTAACTCACAATAAGAAACATAATAAGAAAAGGAGAAAGAGAGAGCAGAGAAAATACAAAACAGAAAACTTTTGTACTAGATTTTTCTTTTCAATATTTTAAGTAAAATCAAGCCAAAACAAGAAGTTTTCATGCATGTATGTGTATATATAATTTATATAATTTTTACACAGCAGTGCTTTTTTTTTTCTTGAAGTGAAAGTTTGATATTTTTCTACTGGCTTTATGAAAATGTTGTTTTCAAAGTTATGTTGTATAAAATGCATTTTACGAACTCTCCTGTAGGAATTTATAGATTAAGCTAACTACTTGATCATATTAAAATAAAATAAAAATGCTCAAAATTACACAGTCTTCATATCAGTTTCTGGTCGGTCACATTTTATTTACTTCTCTGATGACAGATAAATCTATCTATTTTTCAATAATACGAAACATTTCCTGGCAGTACTCAGCAGTCAAAAACTCAAAAGATAATGTATTTTCCAATAACCAGATGCTATCTTTTTCAAAACATATGCCCATTTTTATCACATCTGAACCCTACAAAAACATACTAAGACTCCACATCCCCACAGCTCCTGCCTTAGTATTACCTTTTTTCAGTCTGGTTATATTGCCTATAAATAGCACACATTTTACATCTAAATGTCACTTACCTCTACCTTAGCATTGATGTTATCTAACATGAAAACAACTGCAGCATCAGAGTTAACACTAATGAATTCCCTTAATTGTTTTGGGGGAAATAGTTAATACAAGTATTAGTCATCACGCTTGTTATACCTACATCATTATTTGGCAGAGCCACTGCTGCCGTTTATTGTTTTCTCTAGATGCAATACGGAGCCCAGACAGCAAAACACGACGACTGGAGGCAGGGGAATGTCTGCTCTTCCCCTTCACCAGCAAAGGGACCTAATACTAGACACAACCCAAGCAATAACGGTCACTAATGCAGCTCTCACATTATTTTAACCTAGAGTGATTCAATTGGATGATGATTTTCTGGGCTGGCACTGGCATAACTGAGACTGAGAATTTCAAGAATTCCAGTGTCCCCTTACTCCCAAGTGCTCTAGTCTGAACATTTAATTTTACTTCATAATAACTCTAATCTTTCTCATGTCCTCAGACTTCTGGATTCCCAGGAACACCAAGAAACTTGGTAGCAGCCTTAGCATAACAGTGCCAATTAGTAGTACACTTGCAGCTGGGCTAGGAGAATAAATATACATCAACACATTTCCTTCCACGTGGCAACATCAGTTGCTTTTTTCTACACTTTTTCCAAAGTATCAGTATCTTTCAAGTTTCTTCACTGTTCCCTTCCATACATATGCGACACGCAATGCACAGGATAAGGTAATTAGCCAAGTTCTAGTAGCTGTCTGGGCAAAAATTCAAACATTTCTACCTGCCAAGATTTTTCGTTAAAAAAAAAAAAAAAAAAAAAAAAAAGGATAATTTTTAGCAATTAAAAATAGGCTCCAGGTTATACTTTCTAGAGCTACATTACTCCACCAGAGAGTCATTTGTGTACACACAGCTGCAGGATAGAAAGTCCTACTCATTTCTATCCAAAGTAAAGTTAGATGTTTCCCACTTAATGAAAATGATTAGTGCCAACTTATAATGTCTAGTTCCTGGCTACAGGAACTATAGAAGTTCCAGCTTCTGTTCTTCAGCATAAGACCCAGTTTAAATAATTCATCTGGCATTTTTTTTCAATTCATTCTGATTTTAAATACATATATATTAGCACAGTTGTTGCATAATGAGCAGCATTCACATATCATTAGTCACTGCCCAGAGCAGAGTCCTCTGGCTGACTTTCTAACAAAAATTTCAGAGAGGTGTCTGTTATCTCGGACTATTTATTCCAGCCACACGGGTGCATGCTGGCTGGGAGACTTGCTCCCTGCACTACAGATGGCACAGAGCACTGACAGTCAACAAATGTCCATATCCCACATTTGAAATGCAATTCAAACAGCCCCATCCTCTTCGAGTTGTGATATGTGACACAGAAACAAAATAGATAGCACCCCCCTCCTCGCCCTCTCGCCCACCAGCGCAAACACGCTGTACCTCCTGGTAATCCATAATAATTAAAATGAATCCTTACTGCACTTGCTGTGCACACTATGTCACACGCAGTGAAATCTCTAATAAACCAAATTGAGTTTGAAGATGAAAA